ACTTTGACAGACACATTTGTCCCCAAGGATTAGCTAACATTACATAGCGGCCTGTTTCGTGGATATTTTTTCATCTGTGAATTAAGGGTTTAGGTCAACCAAACCAGCGTTGGTGTCCGTTGGAGAGACTAACAAAAATGCTTTTGGTGAGTTTAATTTTGTTTATGCTAAGTAAAATTACTGGTTTTGTCAATGGAATCTGGTCTGCTGCATTGCCAATTGTTTTGGTCTGAGATACTGGGACTTTTATATATAACCTTTATGCTCTTAACTGAAAGTAGTTACCACATACTGTAAGCTGAACTAATTGAGTCCCTATTGTTATATCAGAAAAATAAATGTGGGTTTGGGTCAGTGGTGATCTGATTGCCCAGAGTGCGTCAAGTGTCATGGTCAGTTGTTTCCGTGAAGAGGGGAAAACTGCCACTCGGCACAGATAAAAAAAGATGCTGAGATGTCCAACCCAGAAAGAGAATTTACAAAGTATCTCCGTTTGTAGCCAAAACAACAGATAACGGGCCTGCGTGTGTCTGCGTGAGTGCTGCTGCAGATAAGCAAAGGACAAACCACACAGCGCCACGGGACATTCCCCTCAACCTTCCTCCTTAACTGTCCTTCCCCATCTCTGCTCTTTCTCTGCTCCGTCCTCCCCCAGCTTCTTCCTCTTCCTCCTTGACCTCACTTTTAATATCTCCCTACGCCGGCTCCATTTGCTCCTCTTTCTTTTCCTTTTGGGTTCCCTCCACCCTTCCTCATCCCATCCTCCCCCTCCGCGCCGTACGCACCAGACCTTCTGGAGTCAAAATGGCTGTTAAATCTCATTGATTTGCCCCTCTAACTAATGCCTGAATAAACTTAACCAATCACCACAGGCAAGTAAACCACCATGCCATTAATATCAATGGATGACCTCTTCACATCACAGCACTGAGGCCTGTGTTATCACGCAGTGATTTGTCTGGGGGATTCGATCATCCCAACACCCAGACAGAGCAAAATTGGTGTTGCCATGGGACCAAGGTTCATGAAAAGATATTAATACACTTTTCTTGTGTGTGTGTGTGTGTGTTGGAGTGTGTGTGCGTTCGTGGGTGGAGGGGTATTAGAGCATAAAACAATTTGACTCCTGAAGAAAAGATTGTAATTTGTTAATTTGAGGGTGCCGTTTTTTATTAGGCTGGGATTTGTGCTGGTCATAATGACAATAAGAATGGTGTAATATTAGTTTCTGGTTTCTCACTGAAGTCAGGGGTTGTTGAACTGATCGTCTTGTTTGATTTGGCTTTAAAAGCATAGTCACTCTGCACAAGGAGAGCTCTGGGTCAGACAATGGCAATATCTGCAAACCAGGATTTCCAATAAGGCAGATACTGTATGCATGAATCCAGACAATGTGTTGGCGGGTCATGAGTTACTTATGACTTCAAAGAGTGATGGGAATGACAAAAACTGCTTGTTTAGGACACTTTTTGCTGAGACATGTCTGTCTTTCCCACGCTAACAGCAAAATGGCACGATTGTTCTGAGGGAATGCACATGATTTCTTTGAAGTCACTGGGTTCATTATTTAGTGCTGTGAAGAATCAGACAAACATAATCTGGACACAAATAAATAAGATTTTACAAGAATTTACCATAGGCCCTTCACAGAGTGTTAAGAATGATTATGATAGAGAATGCGTGCAAGACAACAGCAGCTATTTGTTTGAGTCAGACACCGAGAAAATTGGTGTCTGATATCAAAAACCACCATTAATTGATTGTCTATTTAGCCAGGATCTATCTGTCCCCTAGTGGAATTAATCCCGGAGCTGTATGTGAATGACCCAGATGACCTTCTGGTTGGTCTGAAGGGGCCTTCAGGGCAGCACAGCTAAGTAAAGATGGGCCACACAACACAGCAGCCATACAGGAAGAGCAGAAGACAGTAACAAGTTCATCTATAACCACAATAAACAATACAACAATAAAAAAAAAAAAAAAACGATGTGTAATTTGACTACATGTTAACTGCTTTTACAAGCACTCATGGCAAACTCCAGATTTGCTAACAGAGAGGTAAATCCACAAGGAGCATGCAACTGTGGACACCCCATAATGGATGGATGGATGCATTTGACCAGTTTTAAGCTGTCTCAGTGCTGAGGGAATAAAGAACCAGAGGAGGAATCCATATTAGGTGTTTGTAGAAATCGTTAAAAAGTTTGTAGTATACTGTATATAAAGATAGACAACGCTTCTCCACTTCCTTCCACTGTACAAAAATTAAGCCAAAATATCCCAGATTAGGTCAGCTGCAAAACACAACAAAAAATGAACACTTGAACACACATTGATAAGAACTACATTTCAGTCAGCCAACTTACGTTTGCAATGTTTATTAAGCAGTATAGCATATTTAGATTTTGGCGTCTAGGCTCCAACCTCATCACTCCCCGCAGAGATATGTTTACACATAGAGATATTGGGAGTGATGCACAAATACCTTAACCCCAGTCGGAGCCTCAAAGTGGATGCTGGGTGGTGTGGCTTACAGGGCATAAATATAACGTAGATGCCACATTCGGGTTGTCAGCGCACGTCAACAGGCCGCCATCTTGGACGGGTTCTGACAAGCAGTCAGCGATCAGACAGCTGTGCATCTGGCAAAATGCCAGACTTTTGGGCGTATGGATGTTCACGTGAAAGAAACGCCGTAATGAAGAAACATGGAATAAAATCCAAGTAAGAATTGTTTATATTATTTAACTGTATGAACGTGTTGAATTTGATGTATCTCTTAAGCTAACATAAATGAAACTAGCTTATTACTTCGTCAGGACAAGAAAACAAAAGATGTTTTTGTTAGTAAGACATCAGTAAGATGATGAAAGTGACATTTGGCAATCAGCCACTGTATATAAATGTCCTAAGTAGGCCATGTTATTCCTAAATTATCTATTAAATCAGTTTCATGGCACTAACATTAACGTTAACTGCTAACGTAAGTTATGTACCTGAATTGTAGCTACTTAAGCCTGGAGAACTGAGCGTTGTTCAGATGGAGTTGTTTTGTGTGTAGGTTTCCAAAAGATAAATGGAAGAGGCAGGCATGGGCAGCAGCACTCAGGAGGAGAGATTCTGTCCCAAAGGACAGTTCAGTCGTCTGCAGCTGTCACTTCAAACCACAAGACTTTGACAGGACTGGACAGTCAACTCGTTTAAAGGAAGGAGTGATACCATCAGTGTTTCATTTTCCTGACCATCTTTGCAAAGTTAGTGTCATGACATATCATATGACATATCTCATATAATCTTAATATTTCACTAACACAACGTAAAACAAAACAAACATGAGTAAGTTCTATCTCTTGTATGAATTTCAGGTTGATGGAACAACAATCCAAGTGTGGTTCACTTCCAGTGTTTTCCGTCGGCTCATGGTCCACTGCGGCATTTCTCCAGGAAAAACCGGCAGCGTCCGAGCACAGGATGACACTGTGTCTCTGGCAGCTGTGGACATGTCGTCTGTGGTACCAGCTGAGGACTCTGACATTGCATCCTCTCCATTTGAGAATGTTGCTAGCGTGGTGTTGGACCACAGGTAACTGCCAACTAGCCTTGGGCAACTAACCGAGAATGCGTTGGTTTTGTTGTCAGGACCATATTGTTGACACTCGGGCACCTGGTTAGCTCAGTGTGTAGAGCTGGCGACCCATGTGCCAAGGCTGAGTCCTTGCTGCAGCGGCCCAGGGTTTGAATCCACAAAGTAGTGTTGTTGCAGGCTTATTAGTATTGTGTGTTATTAGGTTATTGTGTGTGTGTCACGGCTGAACAATGAACCCAATTTGAAATACCAACTGTCAAAAGACAAAGTTTATTTGGGATAAGGGAGGTGTGGAGGGGGGGGTGTTATCATGGTGCTTCAGGCTGCATATGATAAAACTGGTCAGCATTACACACTGTAATTTACGAGAAGAAGAAGAGGAGGAAGAGAAGAGAAGGACGAAGAGGAGGAAAGAGGAAGAGAAGGAGGGGAGGAGGAGGACGAAGAGAAGAGGAAGAGAAGGAGGGAAGAGGAGAAGGATGATATAAATATGTATGATTTAATCGTTGATAGACCTCTTCCTCTGTTGACTAATGCAGTAAGTAGACACGACTTCCCCCGGCCCAAGATGGCAGCCGCGTTGACGTATCGTTCCAATGGACAGCAGCGTCAGAGGCGGCATCTAAGTGTATATGCGTGTATGCAACAAGCTTTTGTCAGCATGCTCGAGTGTCGAACAAAACTCTTCGGGCGAGTGAGTGGATTCATCATTTAGGTTATCTTGTTTGGATCACCTTTTAAATAACTGATTCATTGTTAGGACTTGTTCTTATGATCCCCAAAATTTCAGCACACATTTCTTGACAGAGTCCTTTTTTCACCATGACCACGGTCTGAAGCCAACCTTCGACACATCGTCAGATGTGTACTAACTGCAGGGTTACTTACTGTTTTGTTTATTTTTTTCACTTTTGCTCTCAGAGTG